AGAAGACATGAACAGGCATTTCTCCAAAGACATCCAGATGGCCAACAGACACATGAAAAGATGCTCAACATCATTTATTGTTAGGGAAATGCAAATCAAAACCACAATGAAGTATTACCTAACACCTGTCAGAATGGCTGAAATCAAAACACAAGAAACAGCAAGTGTTGGTGAGGATGTGGAGAAAAAAGCAACCCTCCACTGTTGGTGGGAATGCAAACTGGAGCAGCCACTCTGGAAAAACAGTATGGCTATTCCTCAAAAGGTTAAAAATAGAGCTACCATATAATCCAGTAATTCCACTACTAGGTATTTACCCAAAGAATACAAAAACATTAATTCAAAAAAATATATGCATCCCTATGTTTATTGCAGCATTATTAACAATGGTCAAATTATGAAAGCAGCTGAGTGTTCATGATAGCTGAATGGATAACGAAGATGTCACACACACACACACACACACACACACACACACACACCCTGGAATATTATTCAGCTGTGAAAAAGAATGAAGTCTTGTCATTTGTAATGACACGGATGGACCTAGAGAGTATTATGCTAAGTGAAGTAAGTCAGAGAAAGACACATCCTGTATGGTTTCACTCATATGTGGAATTTAAGAAACCAAATAAATGAACAAAGGAAAAAAGAGACAAACTAAAAGCAAACTCTTAACTATAGAGAACAAACTGATGGTTACCAGAGGGGAGGTGGGTAGATGGGAGAATCAGGTGAAGGGGATGAAGAGTGTACACTTACCACAATGAGCACCTAGTACTGTACAGAAATGTTGAAGCACTATAGTATAAACTGTAGGTTAACTATATTAGAATTTTTAAAAATACAAATATTCTTAAGGAAAAATATCAAATAGAAAGTCGTAACAAAATGTTAAATATGGGGGATCCCTGGGTGGCTCAGTGGTTTAGCGCTGCCTTCGGCCCAGGGCGTGATCCCGGAGACCCCAGATCGAGTCCCACATCAGGCTCCCTGCATGGAGTCTGTGTCTCTCTCTCTCTGCCTATGTCTCTGCCTCTCTCTGTGTGTGTGTCTCTCATGGATAAATAAATAAAATCTTAAAAAAAATAATAATAAAAAATAAAAATAAAATAAAATGTTAAATATGGCTATCTTTGACTAGAAGGATTGTGGGTGATTTATATTGTCTTACAGGTTTTTTTGAGAAAAAACCATTTATATAGTGAAAATAGTATTGTAATAAAAAATCATTTAAATTATAACAAATAAATTATAAATTTGTAAAAATAAATATGGCTAAAATATATAACAACGTATTTAATATATATAAAGGCTCATTTATTAAAGCATTTAGTATAAAATGTTTGCAATTCAATAATTGCTTGCTTTTTAAAGAGACTATGAGTTATGAATTTTTTATTTTATTTTACTTATTTATTTGAAAGACAGAGAATGTGCCTGCATGCACGAGTAGGGCGGAGGGGCAGTGGGGGAAGCAGACTCCCCACTGAGCTGGGAGCTGGAAGTGGGGCTCCAGCCCAGGACCCCGGGATCACCACCAGAGCAGAAGGCAGATGCTTAACGGACTGAGTCACCTAGGCGCCCCATGAATTATGAATTTTTAAAAACGCGTATGACCATAAGCTCTCAACAAGCCCAACTGTGTCACCTACAGGGCTCCGGGCTTTACCAGAGGGGGTGCAGATGTGCTGCAGACCCTTCCTCTTTGTAAGCTCCTGAGATTGCTTAGCGCTCGGTGGCAAACTGGCTGAGCTGTCCTAGGAGCCCCCTGAGCAGGCCAAGCTCTGCAGAGTGGGCATGGGGGGGGAGGGGGCGCCTGGGACGGAGCGGGCTGGAGAGCTGCTAGTGATGGAAACCTGGTGGGCAGGGCGAAATATGGGAGGCATGCTGCAGCTGAGCAGTCCGTGGTGGGACTGCACCTCCTCCGAACCCCTTCTTGTGCCCCAGATAACAAGGAGCTGAGGGGCACTGCTGTGGCACTGTAGAGAATGGAGGCCTCCAGTGCTGGGAGGTCACGGGGAGGCAGGGCGGGGTAGGTAGGAGTGAGAGAGGTGGCCTGCAGGAAACATCTGATGCTCAGGCCTGTTCAAGGCTTATTCGAGGGCGGTCCCTGTAGGTTAAGGGGACTAGGATGTGGATAGTAATATAAAGGCCCCTTGAGACTGCCATGGGGTGGTTAGCTGTGGGCCTTGAAGTAATCATAATTTTTCTGGTGGATAAATCCAGTTAATCTGGGTGTCATTTTCATTAGGGTTCAATGAAACACTTGTTGGGTTGTTTGTTTTTAAATTCATTTTGTTATTTAGAACTCAGCACCAGATGTAGTGGCTAAACTCTAGGGATTCACTGGGAACCCAATCCAGTCGTCATGTTACCTCATGGAATTTAGAGTTGGCTGGGAGAAAACAGATCTTAATCAAATAATCACAAACCCAAATGTGAGAGAGCGGGACACCCGGCTTGCGAATGGGCATCTTCGTTTCAGTAAAGCGATTCAAAAATGGGTGATGTTGAGAAGGGCAAGAAGATTTTTGTTCAGAAGTGGAAAAGGGAGGCAAGCACAAGGCTGGGCCAACTCTCCATGGTTGATTTGGGCGAAAGACAGGTCAAGCCCCTGGATTTCCTTACATGGATGCCAACAAGAACAAAGGCATCACCTGGGGAGAGGAGACCCTGAAGGAGTATATGGAGAATCCCAAGAAGTACATCCCTGGAACAAAAATGATCTTTGCTGGCATTAAGAAGACCTGGGAAAGAACTGACTTAATAGCTTATCTCAAAAAAGCTACTGAGGGGTAATAGTTGGCCATCGCCTTATTTATTACAAAACAAAAATGTCTTATGACTTTTTTTTATGTGCGCCATATTTATTTAAATTGATCTCATTGACCAGAATTCAGATCATGAGTGGCTGATAGAATGTTTCTCTGGGACAGTCCTGATTTAAATAAGATTGGCTTGCGGCTAAATGAATATGATCAGCTTTTTGAACTTTGATGGTAATTCTGGTTCAGCTGTCACTGCTGTCACTGTTTTCCCCTTCTAAAAATATGATTGGAGTTGATTAGGGATGTTCCGCTTTTCACAGAGATGGTAAATTCCACCTCTAAACTTACAGATTGGTTTTATATTTAGATTTATATAACTGGTTATATTAATATATTTAAATACCGAGGAAATCCCTTCACTGTCTCAGAACACCAAGACTCAGCTGTGTTTCAAGTTGTGTTCCCTAGCCCGTTGTTAAAGGCAATGGCTGAAGATAAGCTGGCAGTGTCCACTTTATCTTTTTGGTCTTAACTATGCCAATTTAATTAAAATTCCTTGCATCTAAAAAAAAAAAAAAACAAATCCAAATATGACAAGCAGTTCACAGAGAGCCACATAGTCATACTATCAGAGCTAAGAGATTTAATGTACATGGGTATATTCAGGAAGTTTTTCTGAGGCAGTAAGACTTGGGGGATCCCAAAGGCGGATAGAAGGCCTCTTATTCAGGCAGAGGATTCCAGAGAGAGAGAATAATAGCATTTGCAAAGGTCCTGTGGCAAAAAACACATGCAGTCATCATGAAGGTTGCTTAGGAGTGATGAACTCAGTGAGAAGTAAGGTTCAAGAAATAAGCAGGAGTCAGGAAAGCAGTGTAGGCCCCCCAAATTAGTTTGGTCTCTACCCTTAATAAAAGTAAGAGAAACCACTGAATGGTGTCATAATACGAAGAGATGGGAATAATCACACAGTTATTTTTAAACGGTTCGCCTTAACTTCGTTCAGTTCTGGTTTATTTGCTTTATGGGTTAGTGTTCCGAGAAAATTCTCCTTTGAAGGTAAAGCAGCTAGAAAAATCTTTCAAATCAACAATGGGTTTATACAATGCCTCTGGGCAAATTGCAAAAAGGTATCTCTTCTTTAAGACGCTTTCCTTCCTTGATTGGAAAACTGTCCTAATATGTTGATTTTGCTAGAACAAAACTCTTCACTGCCATCTTTCAGGAAACTGTCATAATAAATACAAAAGCCTGTTTTTATGGTTCAAACAGTGCTTCCTTCAACGCAGCACTCTGTGCAGTCCACACCCACACGACCGTACTCAGTGGCCCTGGATCTCCACTGATCAACAAAGAAAGGAGAAAAGCAACTTTTTCTTCTTTGAAATAAGATAGCATAGTGTATAAATGTAATAAAACATGCAGTTTTGGGTCTTTAAGGCCTAACTATGACCAAAACTCATTTTCCAATGCTTACCCACTCTGCCTAGGTGTGGTGCTGGTGGGAGAGAGTAAGTGGCTCCAGATGGCAGATGGAAGATACCCTCCCCACGGCTGGTTGGATGGAGACCAAGAACTGGCAAGAATTTACACCAGAAATGCCACATCTGGCAGACCTGGGATCCAAAGAGGGACCCAGGAGCCACACTGCAATCACTGTTAACTGAAAGCCCTCGTGACTCCGTGCCAGGCAGTCTGTGAGGACAGCCCACGAGGGCATGAGACACCCAGGCCATGTCAGAAGAACCACAGGCCACGCGAGCAGCCTGGCTTCAGAAAACATACCCACACAGCTTGGCCTGAACGGGCTTTGTGTTATTGCAACACTCCACTCTTGACCAGAATCTCTCGGGCTCAGTTTGAATTCACAACCAATAGTTGTCAAACGCTGCATCCGAAAGCAGCAGTGAGATCCTTGTATATATGAGCTACTACGCGCCCTAGAAATTGATATACACTCTGAACTTAAATACACAGCTGTGCCCTCATCCCATTTCCAGCTTCAATGTTTTTTCTTTAATGAAAATCATTGCCCTCACAGATTTGTCTGGAAGATCCTGACCAAAAAAAAAAAAAAAAGAAAGAAAAGATTAAAAGAACGCCCTGTGGTCCTCTCCCATCCGGGGCTCTATCCTACTACCTTCAGCTAGTACCTCTGACCCCACCATCGACATCCTCAGGGACACATGGCTTCGGCAGAGCAGCTGGGGAAAGCAGAGGTGCACTTACTGCTCCCTGGACGGAAGATGAGCCGTCTTCTTCCCCGTCTGGCTCCTGGTCTTCGTTGTCGGTCCAAGAGGACACGTCCTCTACTGAACTGGTCAGATCAGGTAAACTCTTAGATGTCAACCTCAGGAGGTCTTCGGCGGAGGTTTCCTACGGGGACACAATGAAAGAGTCATGCATTACCCCATGGATGTTGGTCAAGGTCAAGGAAAACCCAACAGGGTCAGCCGGGAGTGCTCACACGCCCTGAACTCAAAGACCCCATGGAATGTATTATGTTCCACATTTCCAGGTTGGCCAGGTTACCTCACATGTCAGGGCAGTAGACCCAATGTAAACCCAAACCAATTTTTTTTTTTTTTTTTTTTTTTTTTTGCTGAAAAAAATCTGTGTTTCTTAGATATTTCTACAGGCAATCCAAATTCCCTCCACTTCAGAAACTCTGATACCTTCTCCTGCCTTGCGTTCCGGGTACAATCTAAACCTCCCTGTTGGCGGGCCAACATCTTAGGGCCCAGGGCTCCAAACACACCTCCCTCTATTCTCTCCTCCAACCCACACCTTCCACGCCAGCCGTACTGACCTTCCATCGTGCCAGGCTCTCCCCTGCCCTGCTCCCATGTCTACCAGCAGCTCCCTCTGTCCAGCGAGCTCAGCTTCCCAGCTCCGCTTGAACACCCTCTCCCGGAAGCCTTCCTGGACCGTCTCAGGAGGCATTCCACTTGTGTTTCCCTTCTTCCTGAATGTCCTTTATTGTTTTCTTTCATCGCCCTGCACATATGTCTAACTCTACCTGTCTCTCCTGCTTATCTGAGCGCTCCTCCAAGCGAAGGCCATTTCTACCCTGCGCCGTGTCCCCAGGCCCGGCACAGAGCTCTAGTATCCATGTGCTCCTCCCCCTCACTGCTCATCTCACTAGCATATGTTCACCAGAAAGAGATTAGACTGTTGATTGAATCACGACGCCAAAGTGGAGCCTGATAACGTCTCTTCAAAGAAAACAGCCCTTGAACAATTTTTAAAGGTCAACAAAATACATGGAATCAGACTCCATTAAGATTAGACTCTAAAGAGGACTCCACCATCGCCCTTCCTTCCTCCACACAGACGAGGCCACAGGGGTCAGTGGGATGCAGGCGAGGTCACCGATGCCACATGACAATCGCACACACAGAGGAGGCGCACGCTGCCACCCAGAACTCTCCAGGGAAATGCCACAGCACAGGAGGCGGGGGAGCAGGGCCGGGGCTGATGTGAGGCCAGAAAGGAGAGAAATGTGTCCTCCTCTCCTCCCACACCAGTCATTTCTACAAGTAAGGAAGCCTATGGAAAGTTTTGATCATCCTATTCCTCAGGGCTTGGCAGAAAGGAGAATAGAAGACACGCATCTTAAACAACAGGTGTTACAGACTCCTAGTAAGTGGGCACCCCGCGACACTGACATTTGTGATTAATTTGATGCGCAGCCCACCTGGGAGGCATCTGAAGCTCATTCATGGCAGGTCAGTAATTGTGGATACTATACAGTTAGACCTTACCTAAGGGAAGGAAAGAGCTCTGAAGCAAAAAGTGAGTTCAGCCCTCTTCTGCAAGGTCAGCTCTGCTAGACCATAAACGGAAACGAGATTTTTAAAAAGATGTAGGACAAAAAATGAAGGTCCCAACTGGTGAGTAAATTGCACAACAGGCACAAGATAGAATACTTCATGGTCAGGGACGCCTGGTGGCTCAGTGGTTGAGCATCTGCCTTCAGCTCAGGTCATGATCCCGGGGTCCTAGGATCGAGTCCGGCATCTGCCTCCCCGCAGAGAACCTGCCTCTCCCTCTGCCTGTGTCTCTGCCTCTCTCTCTCTCTGTGTGTCTCTCATAAATAAATAAATGCAATCTTTAAAAAAAAATACTCCATAGTCCTTAACAACAGTGCTACAGAAATGTACTTTCTGTATGCACAAAGATTCTTACAGCATGCTACTTGGCGCAAAAGCAGATGAAAAATAGCATTCCCATTTTAATAATGGTTGTAACAATAAACTAGATGTCGTAATATGTGATAACCATAAAGGCAAACATTTATCCAAGTGCTTCTTGCAACCAGCTGCATTGTTTGGGCTGTTCATATTTCATTTAATCTTCCTGACATTCCATGGAGTAGTTATGATTCTCATTGTCCAGGTGAGAAAACTGAAGTTTAAAAAATTGTAGCAAAAATAAAAAAATAAAAAAATTTAAAAATTTTAAAAAATTTAAAAATGTAGCAACTTGTTAAAGATCCGCGGCTTTTAAGGGGCTGTGCGGGCTCTGAAGTCCAGGCGGCTCTGCCTCCATTCTGACTCCGTGTGTTTGAGCCCATTAAAAAAACATGCCTGGAAGGACAGACCAGGTAATGGATAGAACTACTGGGGGTATTTGAAAATTTTATCTTCCTTTTCTTCTAGGTTTTCTACATTAGACATAGTAAGTGGATATTACTTGTTGATAAAAACGGAGAGTGATAAAGAGAGAGAGAAATCTGTGTTTATATGCAGGTACTTCTGGGAATACCAAAACACACTTGGATATTCTGATTTCATTCATTAGACAAAAACCTTATAAGCTCGTCTGTATAAACAAACAACATATTTGTATGGAGACATGAGACGCTCTGTCCTGAAGAAAGTAACTGCGTGATGTTTTCAAAACAATGTCCTAAAGTTTGGTGACAAAGGTTCTATTTTCTACAATGATAATTTATATTTTTATTATTCTTTTTATTCAGCGAATCAAAAGCTCTTTCCCCTCCTCTTCCTCTCTTTAAATACAATGACAAAACAAAGACTCTGGATTACTTGCTCTTTTTGGATAATGAAGAGGACCAGATGCCAAGAGGTGTGGAAAGATGGATTTTCTTCTCTCCTACATGGATGAGCATCTTGGATGGTGGAGATTAAGTTTAGGAACAAACAGTGGGCAGCTGCTATAGCAACGTATTGCCTAGTTATAAATGGAGCCTATGGGAAGAACTGAAGGGTATCATTCCTCCGCGGTCTCGGTCATCTTTAGGCCTGTCGTTCAGTACAGATGGCCAAGAGCAAGAGCTTGACAACCGAAACATCCATTCCTGGGCTCCAGACTGCTTCTCAGTCCTACAAAGACCCGGTGAGTGTCCCTAAATGTCAAAGCCCCTCGCAGGAACACATTACCCTTCCCTAATGCCACTGGCTCTGTGTCCTTTATGTCTTAAATGACTAAGAGGCAGCTTGGTGGACAGGAACAAGCACGAAACTGTGGAAGCCTTACGGACCCATGATGAAACCTGCTTCTGCCTCCTACTGCTTGTGCAGCCTCTGGGTAAATTAATAAACTACTCAGATTTTAACTTCATCTTTTGAATGAAAAGAACCAACATCTCTCTCATGGGATTTCAGGAATTAAACGAGACCATAGGTAAAAAGCTCCTGGCACCCACTGTGCCCTTTGTACCCTGGCACACGTTAGTGCCCTTTGAGTCAGCAAGTGGGACCACAGCTCACATATCATCCAGGAAACCAGCTTTCAAAACCCCCTGTATGCTCCTCAAGTATGCTTCCCCATGAGTGGACCGTTTTTTAAATTATTTAAATTTTAGGTAGTGCAATATTAGGGTGCAATATTGGTTTCTAGAGTGGAATTCAGTGATCTATCGCTCACATACAACACCCAGTGATCAGCACAAGTGTCCTTAACATCCGTCCCCCATCTAACCCATTCCCTACCCACCTCCCTCCATCAACCCTCAGTTTGTTCTCTATACTTAAAAGACTTTTATGGCTTGTGTCTCTCTCTCCTTTTTTTCTTTTCCTCCTTTCCATATGCTCATCTATTTCTTTCTCAAACTCCACATATGAATGAGATCATTCCATTTCACTTAGCATAATACATTCTAGCTCTATCCATGTTGTTGCAAATGGCAAGATTTCATTTTTTGATGGATGAATAATATTCCATTACATATATACCACATTTTATCTATTCATCAGTTGATAAGACATTTGGGCTCTCTCTATAGTTTGGCTATTGTTGATAAACACAATAGACAGTGTATGAACAATGCTATAAATATTGGTGCATGTATCCCTTAGAATCTGTATTTTTATATCTTTTGGGTAAACACCTAGTAGTGCAATCGCTGGATTGTAGGGTAGTCCTATTTTTAACATTTTGAGGAACCTCCATATTGTTTTCCAGAGTGGCTGCACCAGTTTGCATTCCCACCAACAGTGCAAGAAAGTTCCCCTTTCTCCACATCCTCGCCAACATCTGTTGTTTCCTGTGCTGTTAATTTTAGCCATCCTTACAGGTGTGAGGCAATACCTCATCATGGTTTTGACTTGTATTTCCCTGATAAGGAGTGATGTTGAGCATCTTTTCATGTGTCTTTTTTGGGGGGGAAAGTGTCTATTCTATGTCTTCTGCTCATTTGTTAACTGGGTTATTTGTTTTTTGAGTATTGAGTTTGATAAGTTCTTTATAGATTTTGGATACTAGCCCTTTATCTGATACGTCATTTGTAAATATCTCCTCTCATTCTACAGGCTACCTTTTAGTTTTGTTAATTGTTTCCTTTGCTGTGCAGATTTTTATCTTGATGAAGCCCCAATATTAGTTTTGCATTTGTTTCTCTTGCCTGTGGTGATGTGTCTAGTAAGAAGTTGATCGAGCCGAGGCCAGAGAGGTTGCTGCCTATGTTCTCTTCTAGGATTTTGATGGTTTCCTCTCTCACATTAAGGTCTTTCATCCACTTTGAATTTATTTTTGTGTAAAGTGTAAGAAAGTGATGAGTGGACCTTTTTAATTTTTATTTTATGTTTTCTTTGTGTCTGTGTGTTGGTCTCTTGTGCTTGACTTAGAAGAGATTTTTCTCTTTCTCATCTTCCAAACTAGAAGAAGAAAGAAGTCAGCATAGAAATAAAGGTTGGGTGGCCATGGTATACTGCTTGTGCAGGAACCCCTCCATTCTTGAGCCACAGACTATGGGGTGGGGGGTGGGGGGGATGGACTGTGCAAACATAGGACTCAGCGTGTGTGAGTGTTTAAGACCAGATGGTGCTTTTCAAACCTCAATACCTCTGGCTGAAAGGGGAACTTGCTTGTCCTCCCCTTGAAGCATTTCCCTTTTGTGCTCTGCTCTCCTTCCTGCCCCTAGTGAGAAGACACCAGGGTGCCCCATGGTATCTCTGGGAGGGGAAGAGGGAGTGGAGACTGTCTCAACTCCTGCCTCTGGGGCCTCAATGCCAAACCTTCCTCCCAAGTCTGTGCCAAGGCTCTGTGTTCTTGTGGGAAGCCTAAGTGTCTGAGTTATGGGATTGGGGTGGAAGGTGTAAAAGAACTACAGATTTTCCAGGTAGTTCGAAATGTTTTAATTATTAAATAGTCCAATAATAGGCAATAAACCTTGTAATCTAAGAGGAAAAATACAGAAAAACTTGTGGATGCTAAGTTCAAAAAAATAATAGGGATAATGAGGAAAGAATTACCCATCCTGGCAAGAGTATATTGCTACAAAGGGTTGAAGAGTGGAGTGGTTTCCCACCCCTGCTTCCATGGACTAGAATGAAGCCCAGGGACTCTCCTGCACTAGCTCCTAAGTCTGGTGGGTGCTTTTCTATCTTATCAGCAGCAGATGGGACAGCCAAGCAGAAGCAAGAGGACTCAGGTCCTTCTATTTCTGGTCACACAGCTGTGGAGGCCTGCAGCCTTTATCCAGGACTCTAAGGCTGGTGATGCCAGGGGACAAAGTGGATGCTGGGGGCATAAGACATTGGCATTATTTTAACACACTCCAGGGATGAGGGTACAAGAAGTACCAGCCTGAGCCCTCATGAAAAAGAGGTGATAGCCAGAGGGAGGGGACAGACACTGGTTGTGCATCAAGAGCCAGGGTCCTGGAGCTGCAGACACATCTAGGTCTCTGAGAGATGGAAGCCAGCCACAGGAGCTTGGCCTCACTGTCTCATCAGGAAAATTGAGGAAGAAGGGGAGAGGGTGGCTGGACAAACAGGATTCATGGGGCGTCCTGTAGTGCCAACACTCTGTGAGGCCGTGAGACAGAACCAGGGCCTGTGGCCTGCCCACGGCTAGCCCTGAACCTTTCTTCCTTCAGGACCTGGCAGATGTGCAGCTCCACACCTCTCCTTCGTCCCTGCCAACCAGCGGGCTTCCAGGTCTCCTTTTGGGTTTCACCCTGGGAGAGGTGCTACTCTCTCCACCTTGTCCTTCCATCCATCCTACCATTTCTCCCTTTTCCTTAGTCCTAGAACTGCTCTTCCATCTACTAAATATTTCATCCAGAGGCTACCCTTATGGGCTTGCCTTGTAGAATCATGTCCATCTAAATGGCCCAAGTAAATGTGCAAGTATGTGTGTGTGTGTGGCACAGAGAAGGCTCAAATCCAAATTCACCACCATCATTAAAAATATTAAACAAACAAAGAAACAAACTACCTACCTTGCTGGCTACCACCAGCTGAACCATTCCAGTGGCTGAGCGAAGAATGGCCACAGCTTCCTCATGGGAGAGCCCCACCAATAAGTGACCATTGATTACCAGCAGCTCGTCTCCTAAGGACAGTCTGCCATCCCTGAGGAAATGGAGATGGGAAAAAAATCCCTTGTCAAGATATTCTGGGCTTGAGAAGGGACATTTTCCTGGAGCTGGGGAGGGTCGCAAGAGGGCACAGTTAAAATCAGGCTAAGGAAAACATAGAGATGGCCAGCGACAGTTTGGGCTCGGATTCATCCTTTGGTCTGGCTGGGTCCTCTTGCCCACTTAGGGAGGCTCCATGACTTCACATGGTAGCCTGGTAGCAGGCAAGGTCTTAAGGCACCACTGTATTCTGCATCAACCTTAATGAAATGCCTCCCATCCAGGGGGAGACAATGACAGAGGATCTGAGACCCCAAGGTTTTTGGATAGTTGAGTCATTCTGTTCTCAATCCTAATGCCATCCTGTCCTCACAACTGAGCTGTCAGCTGAGTCATTGAGCTAAGCACGCCAAACAAAGGCATCAAGCTCAACAGAAAGCCTTCTCTAACCTGCTGCCCTCTCTCTCTAGGTGACACTGCCCTGGCCAGATTCCCTCTGCAGCCCTAGCATGTGTCTGTGGGCCCCCCCACCCCCACCCCCAACACACATGCAGAGTTATAGGACCTTGAGGATAAATCTCTCAGTGTCATTTTCATCCTACAGCCAAGCTTCATCAGAAGGATGAACACAAAACTAACCAAACAGACTGACCAATTTCCTGCTATTGCAGGTATCAGACCTGGTCTACAAATGTGTCCTGTTTCTTTATTTCCCCTAAAACAAATTACAGCTGACTTAGAGTTTCCTTCCCACTGGGCTGGGGTTGCCTGCCCTAGGGTGGGTCAAGGGTCTGGGGTGGCAATCTGTGCCAGAGCATTGTGCAGGCCTCCTCAGTCATGATGGATCAGCAGTCCTGTGGGTTCCACTTGAACCTCCAATGGTCTGGTCTCCCAAGGTCCCAAAGGAGCTAGAGGTTTTACATCTCCATTGCTAAATATGGGATAGAAAATCAGGTGAGAGGGATGGACTCTAAACTCAGGGCTCCACCATGACCTCTGAAGGCTTTATATCAACACCCAGGGTGCTGCTTTGGGACCTGTGCCTGGCCCCAGTATTCCCAGATTCACTCAGCTTTCTCTCCAACATGTTGACTCTTCCCACCTTGCTTTTTTTTCAGCAAATCAACCAGCTTCTCTCCACCATTCCCTCCTTCACTAGTTTCTTTCTCTCAGTCCTCTAGAGCATGCATCATAATCGTTTCCATGTATTTAAGCTTTCACAGAAGACAGGAGGCACCAGAGACTTCTGATAGCCTCTGATTTCTGTCCTTCAAAAATCCCTAAAGCAGAGAAATGCTAAGAACTTTTCTAGTTTCTTGGAATGGAAAGAGACGGGGGATAAAAGCCCACAGAGAACAAACTGGAACCTCAAGGAGGTGTGTGGGTGGGCCACGGAGAAAGAGAGAGATTCAGAAGTAAAAAAGAACACAAAGTTCTGACCAGTGTCTGAATTTATTCAAGACTATCCCTACCTCCATCCCTTTTCTTATTTTCCTCTTCAGTTCCGTCTCTCTCATCCCCTGTTATTAACTAGAATGCCCGACCTATGAATTATAAACTCCAGAAGCACAGAGAGCACACACACAACTCCAGGCTAAGGGCGAAGAGAACATGGTGAAACCCACTAGAAAGAGCTCACACAGAAAACAGACCAGAACAGTCCTATATAAGTTCATCTCTGGGCACAGGAATTTCCTAATTGCCAACTTTCCAAAGACATGCTAGAACCTAAAACCTAGGATTAATGGGAAAATGGGTATCTGATGGGAGTTCCTCAAGGCATATCTCATGTGGGAAATTTAATGATGCTCTTCTGGATAATAACTAAGGTCTTAATCCTTACACGATGTCTGCCCCCCAGATAATTGACAAGTGCAGTTATTCTCACCTCGAGTTGTTAGCATCTTACTCTGTAGTCATGAGACTAGAACTGGGACATGAAACACATTGAATTTGTACCCTTGTCCTCTCCTTAGTCTAACAATCTTTACTTCTGGCTCCTTCAACTCCACAAGATATATTTTTCAAAGCCCCCTGGGTCTGGGGCAGGCCAACACCACTCTGGTGTGCCCTATTGCCCTTATAACCAGGTTACCTGGACTGAACACCAAATTCCCAACTAGATTTACCTCACTCATCCGTGAAACTCTACCATTATACACCTACTGTGTACGTGTGGCCACACAACATGCCTTGCCAATAGTAGACACCCTGTGTATATGGAAGCAATCAGCTAGCAAGGCAAAAACATGCTGTATATTTTGGGATAGTTACATCCTTGTAACTCCAAATGGACTTCTTGGCACATGCTCTGCCTAAGATCTATCATTCTTTCTACTTGAGATGATAGTTCAGGTTAAAAAAGAAATTTTGAAGGATGAATGGTTCAGGCCACAAGGAGAAAAATTCACATTTCCTTTTACATACATACAAGTGCGTGTAGAATCCTGAAAGACCTGACACAGCGCGTGAACTGTGGGCACACTTAAAATCAATTACTTTCCCAAGTCATTAGCCACAATCTCACGGGGGTTAAGATGTCAGGAATGTGGTGTTCTGTCAAATAGCAGAGTCTCAATAGGTAACCACATATTACCAGTATCCCAAAAGGTAGGATAAATAACAATCACTTGAAACTCAAAACAGACCACAAAGAAATGCGATCTCTCCTGATTTGGAGGAGTCTGCAGGATCTCCAGCAATTAGCCACTTCCTGTGCCCAGAGGTGTGTTTAATTAGAACTGCTCATGCCTGATTTTCTTCCATGCTCCAGCACAGTCTTTATGAGCTGCAATTACCAGGGCTTTGACCAAATGGAAGAGTCCTACACCCGGAGGAAGGGAAGGGAGAGGATAAGGAGGCAGAGAAAAAGGGAGAGTTATCTAGTCACCTGTGTGCGGCACCTCCTTCCTTCACTTGAGTGACAACGATAGCGTGAGGTGAGCGCTTTGATCCTCGGCCTCCACTAACCTGAATTCCCAGCCCATCCGATTCTTTAAGCAGCTCCATCTTCCATATCCGGCCAACTTCCTCCTTGGAAGAAAAAGCGAGCACACTGTGAAGTATCTGGACAGACACATGGCATTGACACAGGAGAGTGGAGCTGCTGGGTCAAGCCAAATATTCATTAATTGTCAACAGGTATTACAGATGACTACAGAAAGAAAATGTTCTGTGTGCTGGAGCAAAGTCTCTAGCTGCCAGTCCTGTCTAATAGAATGTTCTAGGATGATGGAAATGTTCTATGTACAATCCAACATGGAGTCACTAGCCACAAATGTGAGTAGTGGCAACTGAGATGCTGAATTTTTTATTTCATTTAGTTTTAATTAAATTAAATGGCTACCTATGGCGAGTGGCTATAATAATGGACAGTAAGAGTGATTATCCAATTTCCTGACCAGGAATCTGTTAAGTAAATCTGCTTCTGCCTGAAACCCAGTTACCACTGTGTGTGTAAACACTGGCTGTGTCTGGCTTCCATTTCTTTTACACACAGCTACTAATTAATATAGGAAGATGAAAAGACAACGTTAGGTCTTAGTTCTAGGAGAGTTCAACTAATTTCAGCCCAACTCTGCCACTTTACTTATGAATGTCCTTCTGTCTAAAACCCTTACGTTCCTCGCCTCTAAAGGGGGGATAATTATTAATGCTTTCCGACTTGTCATTAGGATTAAATGAGATATTTATGGAAGCAGCAGTGCTTCTGGCAACTAGTAGAGACATAATAAATGTTGACTGGTAACCATATATTATTTATATATGCACAAATATATGTTAAAACCACCCTATTGTGATATACCCAATGGTATTGTAATAGCATCGCATAATGTGGAGTTGTCCAATCACTATGTTGTACACCCGAAGCTAACATAACATTGTATGTCAACTATACTTCATTTAAAAAAAGAAAAACCAACGTGTTGAATTGGATCTCAAACTTCCTTAGAACACAAAAATGAGATCTTAGGAGAAGCCCAAACTGGAAATTAATTGAATCTGTTACTGGCTTCTATAGACACTGAACTGTACACTCTTCGAATACATTAAAACGTGTTTCAATCCTTGCAAAAATCTATTCTTCAAAAAAAACTAATCATGTCTCTAAGTCCCCTGGACTACTGGTAGCTTCTCTGCTTTGGTTAATTCTCCACTTGACTCTCTGTTTTCCTCCAAGGATGCAAACATATGCCTGATACAAAATGCTTAAGTTCCTTCAGATACTTGGTTGTTCAGAGAAATGAAAGCAAAACCTTCCAAGGTGATTAACTTTGGGGGTCTTACTTTAGGCTCACTCCTGGAAGTTCTTTTTATCTCTCAGTCTATGGGTATGGATCACAATGCATTCCTCAACACATAAAACAAAATCCATGTCCTTTCCTCATCCATCATGAAGGTCTAATGGAACCATTAAGGTCCACTATGGACAAAGCCATCTTCTTCCTAGAAATAGGCAACCTTCCCACTTAAGCTACTTGCAAAGGAGAAAGAATGTGAAGCATTCAGAAAATCTAAAATACACATTGTCAGAAACTAAAATGAAACTTTATGCAATAGTAAAAAAGCCAGATGTTAAACAGTCACTGATGTGCAGCAATAGGAATGTCTGGGGAAATTATTAACAGAGACCTGTTGGATCCTATACTTTTTCTAGTACAGCACTACTCAGTGGGGCTCCATTACTCCGGCAACATGCAGTGGTGCCAACGGTCTCCTTCATCTGCTGACCACAGACAAACGATGCCTGTCTGGCCAAATGTAACTTCAGAAGTCACTGGCTTACCACAGTAGTTCATGAACTTGTCAACAATCCCTATATCATCCAATCATTTCACTTTGGACTCCATCATTTTTGGTTTGTTGCCTCTGACCTCTGGAACACCTTTTTTCTCTTCTCCATTCAGAAATAACCTCCCTGTCCTTCAAAGTCTCTCACAGCTCCACTATTTCCAAAAAGCCATCCTTGAGAGTCAGTGCTACTGACAAGATGGCAACTTTCGACACTTCCAGCACGTGAGGTCCTACGGCCTAGTGGATAGCCCCAAAGGGAAAAAATTCAGGGAGGTGCTGATGGCTGTTGTCCCAGCTTGCATCCCACACTAGCACATGGGTCAGCCCTATGGCTGCCTCCCTGGGCCTAACAAAGTAGCTGAGAAACTAGAGCAGAATGGTGGCTTGATTTGTTCTTTCCATGAATGATATGCCATGGCTACTAGGGTCTTGAAGATATGGGATAGTGCTCCACCCTCTCCCAGTACAGAAAAGCTGTGAAATCCTTTCCCCAAAGCAACAGGGACCATAAAAAGAGTCTAGAAATACGAAAGTTGATTTGGCTTTAGCCTAAATTAGTAAAAGCTTAGCCCATTACTAGTTGCACCATCATTTCCTCCCTGTCCTACCACCTTTTTGTTAAACAGAGTATGTTAAGTATGTTTCACAGAGGGTATGACGATACCAAATATACAGTCCTTTCTCATTTTTAAGTGCTTTTAGAAACAGAACTTGTGGCATGGAACACATAAAACTATGATCATGTTGAAAGAATAATGACCTAATATATACTCTTGACAAAAGAGCTAAAGACAATTTTCATTAACAGCATTCACATGCTCCCTTCATACCCCTGCCCAACACACACACACGGTTAAATGCAAAATAAAACACATATCTAATAAAAAGGCTTCAGAGGGCAGGAATGACCAATCTTTAATACAGCCCCCAACTATGCTAGTCAAGAAATGGATCTTCTTTTTCATTTTTATCCAACAGCATGAGTGTTGCCTCCATGACTGAAAGTAGGAACTCTAAGGGGAGAGTTCAAAGAAGTCCACGCAAGTTTCCCTGCTCTGGAATTTCTTGATCATCTAATGAGGAGTTCAGAGGTACACAAAGGAAGGCACAAACAGGAAGGAAGAGGCAGATGTTATCTGAGTCCATTGTACAACTGTCAGTATTACATCTAGCTGCCCACAGCTGAAAACCGTGTTCAATTACAAATAAAGTCAGTGTCTAAAGTTTATGAGGCTAAAGCTGATGCTGGCAGAAAATCAACAGGCCAACTTAAATATAATAATATTAAGCATATTTTCAGCTGCTTCCTTACAGTTCTCCTTGGGTATCTAATATACACGTCAGTATGGTCAAAACAGGACTTTGCCTCTGTCTTGCTTCTGGCTTTCTCACCTTCATGGAAAAAGCACCATCATGCACTCAGGCTAAAGAGGATTTGCAAACTAAGAGCTCACAAGTTATCTTTGATTCCTCCTTCTACTTCCTATACCCAAACCATAAACAAGATCTGCAGGTTCTACTTGCAAAACATATCCACATCCATCTAACTTCTGCTTCTTCCTGTTAATCACTGCAGTTGAGCCCACCAGCATCTCTAGCTTGGGTTATCACAGTAGCCTCCAATCTGGTCTCCCTTTTTATTCTTTGCTTCCTACAATCCCCTGTTCTCCATTGTACATCTAGGGTCTAGGGTGACCTCTTTTTCTTTTTTCTAAAAGGATTTATTTATCTATTTTAGAGGGAGAGACAAAACATAAGTGGGGGCAGAGAGGGAGAAAGAGAAAATCCTCAAGTAGATTCCCCACTGAGTGTGGAGCCTGATGTGGGGCTTGATCCCAGGACCCTGAGATCATTCGTGACCTGAGCTGAAATCAAGAGTCGGCCACCTAACCAATTGAGTCACCCAGATGCCTCTCTAGGGCGAACTTTTAAAATACATACATTATGATACATTTAGCTTAAACCTTCCAACAGCTCCTACTAGGCTCAGACTGAGGTTGGAATCTTTGAGATGGCGTACACAAACCTCTACCCAAATCAAATCACCTCCCTGTGCTCTCCGCATCACTCACTGTGCTTCAGTCTCTCTGCCTCTGAAACACTCCATCACTCATGCCCAGGGAAGCTTCTTGTTCTGGCTCCTCCCTGGAAATAGCCCACCCCTAGATTTTGCAGGGCTACCCTCTCCTAACACTCAGGGTTCAGCTCAAACATTGCCTCTTGAATGAGGTCCTCACTGATACCAATTTCAGTTAACTCCCCACCAGGACACTGCCCAGACACCTTTCACTTTACTGCTTTATTTCACTTTATAGTACCTGTTGTCACCATCTACCATTCTGATTCATTTGTTTGCTTATTTATTGCTTGTGGCCCCTTATTTGTGATAAGTGCTGCGGGACAGGAAATTCGTCTCTCATTTATCACTGGGTTCTCCAGCAACTAGAACAGTGCTAACACATAACAATATTGCATAAATGCCACAGAATTAATAAATATAGGATGTTTATACACTAATCTTACAGTTTTTCAGAAGTTATTGAGAGTGACATTAAGAGGCTCTCCCAGATGGGAAACCTGCATGTTTGCCAGTGTTTAGCGTGTGAATACCCAATCCAGTTGTGGAGACGATTGAGTTCTGAAACAGATCCTGTCTAGACAGATGGCTCAAGCCTTTGCTTCCTTTTACATTGGCTTAAAGGGCAATGAGACTCTGTCAGCATGTTGAGAAAAAGCCAAACCACGCAAAACTGGTTGCTATGGACTTTTGTATTAATGTTGTCAAAGTGCTACCCTTTCCTATAAAATGCCAATTACTGGGTGAGCTCACACATACATCTCATCATAGTAGCCAAAAAAAAAAAGGATTTATTTACAAAACAGAGGTGGTACATTAAAGGGAGCTGTCTTGGCGGCATTTAAATGACCTCATCTTCTGCTGGAACCAAAAATAATATTTCACAATAGCATCTTTTCTCCAAATGCGAGAAGAAACATCATCCAACTAGAATTTTACTGCAGTAAATCGTCTGGCTCTAGTTGCAAACTTAGATTCTGAGACTGTCTGCATATCCCTTCTTATTTAGAATGATCAGTAAGAAATGAGAAGATGTGTGTGATCAAGGTCGGAGCTGAAGTTCCTAGTCATCAGACCAAAATCATCAGTTTATAGGTGAAGAAATGGAAGCTCAGAGGAAGAACATGGCACCCTGAAGGCCACAGAGCTGGGGATGGAAGAATTGGGCTACAACCTGGTGTCCCACCTCTCAGGCCTGGAGCTCTTGGGTGCCTTCGGTAATGAGCATCTACGGAGCACCTGCAGGTGCAAGGCAGTGAGCCAGAACACAAAGGCAAATAAGGTCCCCACCTTTAAATTCTACTGGGGACACAAGAAGCTGCATGGTAGTTGGAATATGTGGGATTCATGCATTGATGAAGAAGGGGGAACTGCAGGAGCCCAAAGTGGAGATGCCTAAAGGCCAAACAGGTGGCAGGAGGCTCCTAGAGGTGTGTCATGGTGTTTGGTCCCCCAGAAATGGAAGACATTAAGCCACACAGGGGAGAGGAGAAGAAACAGGATAGTAAGAGCAGCATCTGCAGAGGCTCAGAGGAGATAGTAAGCACAGTCCTTTGGGAAAAACCGTGGCTAATTCAGCCCAAACTGGGGAGGAAGAAAGCAGTGAGAGACGATGCCAGAAAGTTAAGCAGGGATCAGACAGTGAAAGGCCTCGCAGGCTTCACCAGGCTAAGGAGTTGGGGTATTACCCTGAAGATAAGGTGACCCACCCAAAGGGCTTACGCTGCGGGGTGTGAGTGTGCACACACACGCTTGATGCAATCTCTTTAGAAAGGCCTCTCTGGTTGCTGGGAGGACAGTGGAGGATGGGATGACAGTGGACAGCGGGAGGGGTAGCAGACACTATGACCACCTACGTGGGAAATGAAAGCAGTGTGACCCCAACAGAAAGCTGCGGGAGAGGGAGAGAAGAGTGGGGCAAGCAGGGAGACCAGAAAGCCCAGGGTGCAGGAGCAGACACCGACTTAGGAGAGACATTGCCACATAGAAGGATAGAAGTTCACCCAGGGACCATGGGGGGCTTCCTAGAAGAGGACCACCATCATGCTGTTTCTGCTTGATACAAACATCAGGGACTACCCAGGAGATGTCCCGGGTGTGACTCTCCTTCTGAGCTTTCTTTTCCTGCAGATTTAGACCTGGAGCAGCCTTCCTGAGGTCTCTGCAGACCTCTTGCACTGACACACTCAGCCTTCCTGAGGTCTCTCCTGAGGGTCTAGGGAAGAGGTCTGATACTGTCCAGGGTGAACTACAAGCGTTAGAGTGAGACCACAAATGGACCCATAGACACACATGCCAGGTATGAATAGATTTGCCCAGTTGGCAAACGGTAGGATTTTCTTTTTCACTGTTATGTGACTAAGTTGTATTTATTTTTTTCACCACACTGCTTACAAAAATACACATCTGTAGTAAACAGGCTTGCAAGAACTCTCCCCTTAGATGAGTAATGATCTTCACTACACGGGGAGTAAGGGACTCTGAACTCAGTTCTAAAATTGCTTCTCTATGTCCTAAGAGTTTTTTTTTTTTAAGATTTATTTGTTCACAAGACGTGTAAAGAGAGAGAGAGGCCGAGACATAGGCAAAGGGAGAAGCAGGCTGCCTGCAAAGAACCTTGAACCCAGGACCCCAGGATCACACCCTGAGCCTGAGCTGAAGCCAGCCGCTCAACCGCTGAGCCACCCAGATGTCCCTATGTCCTAGGAGATTCTTATGTTTAGATGTTTAGACAATGGGCCCAACTTTTGTAGTTTAAAAGATTAATCTGGTTGCATATGTATTATTATGTGTTAATATTTTATAGAAACATATGGTTTTTTGTAAAAAAGATATTTATTATAGGAAATATGTTTCCTATGGTTCTGTTAAAGGGAAAGAGGATATAAAAACAAAGGCTGAAGATTTATTTTCATGTAACAAATAACAGTCTATGAAAAAGAAGCATCTGACAAATAAAAATGGCCTGAATGATTATAAGCCTTTTCCGTAATTTATTAAGTCTTTGTAGATATATTAAATCATTAACAAAGCAGAAACGGAACAATGCTGACATGTTTAATCTCCCATTATTCAAATGGAATGGAATTTTTTGCCCCAAGGGCTTAAGAGGTAAATACCTAGTTTTTGTTTTTCTGGAAATTCCATTTTAGCATGACCTTGGGCTCATCCTGGAGTAAAAATAAAAATCTGCTCAGCTCAAGAACCTACACGACCTTCTGTGATGGTCTATTGGTTTCAATCTGGGTGCCACCTGGATGTGGGGGAAGCTGTGAAGACTTACTTCTTGCCAACTCTATCAATCTTGGGTAAATGCATCGAACGATGATGCTTCTGGGGTTGAAAAGGGTGCTAAAATATATTCATGCCTGAGAGGGTATGTGGCCCATGCTGACTTTCCAAGAAGGAAAGTATAACTCAGGGTCAATACTCAGTCTATAGATTATGGACAGTTGTGAAGAATGCAAATTCCAGATGGCAGGTCTCTCCTTTCTATAGGCATGTGGCTTAAAAAAAAAAAAAGTCCCAAAGGCAAAAGATTTAGGTTTCGTTTTTTATCACTGTTTCATTTATATCTTCTTGGACATTTGACCGTGAGTGGGAAAAACCAAGCAAAGAAAGTCTGATATGTGTAATGTTCAGATAGTCCAATCCAGAAATTCAAAATTTTATGTTACTGCCTTTAGTTAAGATGAGTAGAGAATAGTGGCCTCTTAAATATTTTCTTTAAAAAAAAAATCATTTCCAAATTATTCCCATTGTGTCCTAGGCCAAATGAAAGCCTTCTCTTTGGACTACATATGAGATTCAATATCTTTCAGTAACTTAAACCTTCAAAATGATTGAGAGAACCAACACTCCCTAACTTATTCACCCTAGGCTTTCTGTGTATCCATAATCTAATCATTAGAATAAAAAGTCATATCCAAATAGAGTATTTATCAATAAGAAACACAGTATAATCTTTTTATGGCCCTTAATTCTTTTTTCTGGGGGACCATAAAGTTGGTAGAAAATCATTGATAGACACATTATTTTTTTCTTCTCCTTCATTTACATATTCTATCTACAAATCATACCTCCTTCTAGGTAAGGCTTTATGAAGGTCACTGAGATCCTCAGATAAAGGAACATGGTCCCCTGAGAGAGGGGTTATTTTAAATTCCTCTCCTCCCATTCTACAGATTAGGTATAACTGAAGAAATATGCATGAAATAGCCTTACTAGAAATTCTATTTATTGCCAGGGTACCATTTCAGCAGCATGCGAAGGTGAACTTGATACTTCTTCTGTGCCCATTTTCTATCTTTCTAACTTTCTCTTTCATCCTAAAAGGGTGTCTACTGGAGAGACTCAGAGAGGAAACCAATCAGAAACCACGGAGTAAGTTACTACTTCATTAGGAACCCACAAGAGTATCTGCCAAGAGGATTCTTGGAAGGAACATTCTCACCCTAAAGAAACAACACTTCAAGAGAGAGAATGTTGGTTAGAACGAAAGAGGCAATTTGAGGCTAGAAATGTACCCGTTACCCATCAGAGTGTACCACATCTGCTTTGCCTTTAAGGAAGACCAATCCTGACCATCACAGCTGGATATCACAGTATCAGACATTTCTGTGAAATTTCCGAACTTCATTGGAATTCAGCAATTTAATAACACGAACCCATAAAAATGTCACTGGTTTTGCAGTGTTAAAAATAAAAGCAGATGCTTCTCTGCGCTTTGAACATCCTTCCTGTGTAATACTGAGGCTTGAACGTTCATGCTATCAGCTGCCACCGGGAATTCTTGGCCTTGCTGTGGCAATTCCACTGGTGTTGGTAGTGATAAATAATGATGCAGTTCAAGTTCTTTATCTGGACCTCATATGACTCAAATTATACCACAGAAGTCTTGGATTTTCCACTTAGGATCACTCAACCAGCTCTTTATTTAAGTAGGATAAAATGACTTAGGTTTTTGTTGTTGTTGTTATTATGTCCTCTGACCATCTATCACAATAAATGTGTTGGCCTCTAAATACAAGGCCAACTTAGTTCTATTTTCTAAGCCTTAAAAGCAACTGCAACAGTATTTCTTTAAAAATTCAGGTTCTATAATCAAACCAAAGCTTACCCGTGCCAGGCAGTCACTTGATTGGAAGTCTGTCTTCCCGGACTTGGAGAAGCGACATTTGTCATTGTTTGCGGGTAGAGAAGCATCTGTCTTTGGAATTCTAGGCTCTGTCCCTCTGTCTGCTTCTGAACCGTCTAGATGGGATCCAGCCAGTTCCTTGAGAGATTCTGGGCCATTTTCGAGCTCAAGAGCATGACCATTTCCAAGGTCAGGGTCTGGGCCATTGTCCAGCTCCGAGACAGGGTCATTTTCCAGCTCACAGCCAACACTGCTCTTGGGTTCTTCAGTGGCCTTGTGGGTAGGAGGCTTGGAGATGACCCCAAACTTCCTTGCTCTTTTCCCTTTCTTCACAGTTTGGTCACCCAGCTCCAGGGTAGGTGTCTCCACTGGTTCAGTGCTGCTGCTCCCGTTGCCATTATAAGGAGACTGGACTTTGTGCTTGAAGCGACGCAGCATGATCAAGTAGATGAAGCCGCCATTCCAGCACTGCTCGGCCAGGTAGCTGCAACAGACACAGGGGGCTGGTTAAAACCCTCCAAGATCCTTCCTGACCGCTGCTTTGGGACGGCCCATTCGGCAGCCTACACGGTGTGTTAGCCACCTGGCCACGCAGCTGAGGTACTAAGCTTCCGAGAGAGGCTCACTACTCATCCTTCCCATCTACATAATTGTTGATGCTAGAAACAACCCCAGAGAAACCCAAACCCCCATGAACTAGAAACTACTAATGAAAACACCCCAGGGTAGGCAGTTAGAAATGGATTTTTCTATCCGCAGAGTCAATCCTAACATATGATTTGAAAACAATAATGATTTCAACAATGTCTTGCATCAGGGTTACGTGAGCCTCCCATTCATATAGTTCAAAAAACGGAAAAAAAAATGTTTTAAGTAAGCAGTGCCCAATGTGGAGCTTGAACTCGTGACCCTGATATCAACGGTCTCACGCACTATGGACAGAGCCAACCAGGCACTCCTCCATTCATACAGTTTTGCTGTAATTACTCAGCAAGTCCCCAGGGTAAAGAATAGCTGAAATGGACTGAGAGGAATGTAAAGTTCCGCTCTTTGGATTAAAATATCAACTGCACAACAACAGGAACCTCTGCCTCAGAGCTTTAGAGTAAAAAAGAGGGTGAAAAAGCATTAGAGTGAAAAAGAAGAATAGAGGGTGGAGGGGCGCTGGCTGGTACCAAGATGCAACTGGTAAATGAAGGATGCTTAGCCCAAAGAAGACAAGCCAGGCTTGGTTGCATTTCATGTATTTGAGGAGTGCCAAACACTCAGAAGCAGGAAATAATATAAATGAGACGATGCATGTGAAGCCTGACACACAATAACTACTCCAGATCTTAAGGAATAACCGTAAATAGAACATCAAACGAGATAAGTAATTAGTGGTGTTCAGGACCATTAAAGCTTTAGCAAAGAAAACACACTTGCTCAAAGTCAGGAAACCAGGCTGGGCTAGACCCTCCACTCATGGCACCCAAGATAAGGAAGCACAAACCCCAGATAAACCCAGGAAAATGCCTTCACCATGGAATGTTGCCACATTCTACACATCACCCGGTCACAAGCAAAGAATGTCAACAACCAAATCCTTAATGAGTTGGATCTGCTTCCGGTCTTCATGTGCCCACAAAGAGGAGGTCTGGGGCTTTGTTGCCTACATCCTCAAAAAGTGAAAACCTGAGAACTTTTTCAAATGGACCAAGCTAGCTGTTCTCCCTCCAGGCCTGAAGCTCAGACCTGAGAGCTGGGGACAGTCAGTATGCAAGAAGGGACCAGGTTGTAAGGAGAGGTGACCAGCTGTGTTTGAAATGTACTAAGTTCTGGGCCAAAGGCATGTATCTATCACCCATATCTAATGGTCAGGTTAATGCCATGACAGTGCCAGTCTCACTGAAGAAGGGAATAATTCTGAATTTTTACCATGGAGTAGAGTGAACAAGAGAAATGGGTCCTCAAACAATCATCACAGTTAATAAAACTTTCATTGATCCTGATCTATAAACCATGGTAATGAACTTACACATAAAAGCCAGGCAGATAAAAGGTACCCCACAGACCTTGGATTGTTCCATGTAATACACTGAGATGAACAGGTAAAGAGCAGCCTACTAGAGTCTAGTAAATTAAAATTAAACTTGGTTCTCAGCACAATTTTTCTACGATGTTTAGATTTCATTTTCCTGAATTGTGTATTTTTTTTCCCACCCTGGAAAAATTTCTGTAAAGGTATAAAACCTTAAAAGTAGCTATTAGCTAGGCTGGGTTCCTTTGAGCAAATCACTACTTTTAATGTAAGACATATGCCAGATGTTATGAAAAACAGTGAAGGGGCACTAAAAACAGGACCGGGGGGAGGGTCAAGACACCCAAGTCCTCATTCTGGCTTTGGCCCAACCATGTCAAACAATGGTGATTATACCAAATTTCCATCAACCTGTGAACGGACAGACAAAATGTAGTATTATCCCTATAATGGAATATTATTTAGCAATAAAAAGAATGAAGTATGTGCTATAACTTATGTGAAGCTTGAAAACATGATGCTAGGTGAAAGACGCCAGATCACAGAAGGCCATATGTCATTCCATTTCTAGGACATGTTCAGAATAGGCAAGTCCACGGAGACAGGAAGTGGGTCAGTGGTTGCCAGGAGCCAGGGGGAAGGGAGAACTGGGACTGCTAACAGGTACAGGATTTTTGGGGAGTGATGGAAATGTTATAGAATTAGTGGTGATGGTTGCACAACAAAGTGAATATACTCACTGAATTGTACATTTTAAAATAGTGAATTTTATGTGAATTATGTCTCAAAAAAATAGCAAAACGTAATAATTCTGGCCAAGTTTTGAGTTGTTTCTTTGAGTAGGTGCTCCTTAAGAACATCCTTTACAGAAGAAATTGAGACTCAGAAATATTAATGTTCCCAGGTTCACATAACTGCCAAGTGGTCAACCTAGGCCCTCCTGCTTCCCAAACCCCCACACACTGTGCATTTGTGATGTTTCAATCACTCTAGTGTCTTCATCTGTAACACGAGGATGTTAAAATAAGTCGTTTCCGAGTTGCCTTTACAATTTGATATCTGTGAATACAAGTTTCTTGGGAAGACTTCTGGGGATTAAAGGAGCAGGTCATGGCAAAAGTACTGACCCAGTGCCCAGGACAAAACAGACCCTGGAAAAACAGAAACATTCTTTTTATGTTCAGGTTGTCCTAGGTCTCCTGGACATTTACTATCAATCTGCAAAAAAATCTTACCTGGAGAGGCAATTTCTTTACAATTGCTTTTGGGATTCTATCTTTTGCATAAAAACTCTGAGCATTTTGATGGGTTCTGTGCAGAGACCTTCTTTTTAGTACCAAAAAGGCAGGCCCACTGACTCAGAGTATAGGATCTTGACTATTTCTACTCGCATGGAAGCTCCAAGAACCTTGTGACTGGAGATTATTTTATTGTTTCTGCAAGATCTATGCTCAACAAAATGACAAAGCAAGAGGAGTTTATCTTTAGTTTGGCACCATCTCCCTATCGTCTCCTGACTTCCTAGCAATAAATAAGGTTCTGACACCTCGGGGAACTGTATGACAGGTTACTTTATTCCTTCCTGGACACTGAATCTTCTAAGGTCATCCCGAAGACAAAGTGTAAGGAATGAACTATGGATACTGCAGCAGCTTGGTGAGAAAGACTTTTAGGCAGGGGGTAGTTTTCTTGTAGTTCTTCTAATCACCTTATACGTAATGCCTCCTCATTCCCTATCCATCCGTACTGAAGTGACTTACCTAACTTTTCCAGCACTTTCCTAGGTAATTCATACTTCCAAATCCCTGTTTCCATTCAAAATAATTCCTACCCTCCCCCATTAGAATCTTTAAACTTCAAAGTCAGTCTTTGAGAAAGAAGAAATGGAGTATAACCCTGGTCCAGAAAAATAAGTCTCCTCTTCAACAATAACTGGTAAAACGAAACTTTTAGAAGCTTCTCTATCATATAATTATTTTTTGGTTTCTTCTCAAAATTTGAAACTGTCCTCTGGCATGTAAAGTTATTCAATTCAGTTAAAATTTATTTGATTTTGACCGTCCCAGGATGGTCTTAAAATAAATGAGGAAAGACAAGCAAATCCAGAAATGACATTCCAAATTCGAGCCTAGAACCTCTCCCTGAAATGTGTTGAGGTTCCTCACTTCACTTGGTCTTTGCAAGCAGCTTTTGTGACCAAGTCCTTTCCCACCTTCCTTTCCCCTCAAAATGTGCTTTAACCAAAAAGAAGTTTTGAGAACTTCCTCTGTTTCTTGATGCTCTATCATAATTCTGGAGTCTGGGCTCTCCAGGGGTGGGAGGTCTAGGAAGGGTTGGCAGGTGAGGTGGAGCTAAGAAAAGCTAGAGGGATAAAGCTGCCTGGAGTTTAAAGATCAAGAACAGGGAGATAGGAGATAAGAGAGAGGCAAAGACAGATAGATATTGGAAGGCCAACAACACACACAGTTCTATCATAAGAAGGCTTGAGGCAGCTGTGCAATTTTGATATTCTAGATTGTTCCACCAAAGTCCTCAGAAGAAGCAATCTCCAGGTTCCTTTGAAAATCATCTTGGGGGCAGGGGTGCCTAGGTGGCTCAGTCAGTTAGGCATCTGCCTTCAGCTCAGGTCATGGTCCCAGGGTCTGGGATTGAGCCCCACATCAGGCTCCCTGCTCAGCGGGGAGTCTGCTTCTCCCTTTCCCTTTGTGTTCTCATTTGTTCTTCTCATTTTCTCTCTCAACAAATACATCTTTCTTTTTTTTTAGGATTTTACTTATTTATTTATTCCTGAGCACACAGAGAGAGGCAGAGACATAGGCAGAGGGAGAAGCAGGCTCCATGCAGGGAGCCCGATGTGGGACTCGATCCTGGCACTCCAGGATCCCACCCTGAGCCACCCAGGCATCCCTCAATAAATAAATCTTTAAAAAAAAAAAATCATCCTGGGCATTTGGCCATCAATTACTGATGGCTGTGCCCCCACAGACGGGTGCTGCTCAGCAGAACCATTGGGGTATACGTGTGCGTAATTCAGAGTAACTTGGATCGCCACCCCCAGGCATTGGCCTGTACCACAATACCGTGGAAACACTGTAAACTCAGACAACACTGAAGAATTCTAGAACTCAGACTTTTCTGAAAAGCAGACATTCTTACTTCATCTGAGTAAGTCAGGTCCCCAGTACAGACAATAGGAGAACAAACACTGAATGCAAGACGTTTCTAGATGAGTTCCTATGACCAGGTATGAGTTTTACAGAATGGGACCAACTGCTAATAGCCACTCTAACACACAGGACGAACCGAGATCAATTGTTCTTGCCCACGATTGCCTCTTGCCTAAGAGGCAAGGGGAGGCTAAAAAGCTGTTTGTGGTCCTTTGAAAACCTGCTAAGCCTAATTAATCCAGAGGGTGTCTGAGGTTGTAAATCTGTAGGTTCCCAGAGAAGAACGGGTTGAGAGGA